TGAGTGAAACTGCTTCGGAACTAGAACAGATATGGAGTGGCAAGCACGACTGGGGAAGTGGGCTGGGGATGGGCGGGGGGCGGGGGGCAGCAGAAGGAAGGAGGGAGGGAGAGAGAATGGAGCCAACAAAAATAAGAGGGGGAGCCAGAGGGAGGAGGGGAGTTCGGGAGGGGAAGATAGGAGAGGGCAAGGGCGAGAGGTGGGGAGGTGAGAGAGAGAGAAAGAGATTGATTTGTACAAAAAAGTAACCAGTAAAATTGAAGAAACAAAATTGGGCAACCTCCTAAAATTAGGCTAAGAGGAGGCGCTGAGGTAGACATTAACTAGAACATCGATGAATTAAGAACACTATTCTGTAATACAAAGCGATCCGACTGGCACTCGTGCTGTCACGACATAAGACAAAGCCACAAAAACAAACAAGTAACAAAACATAATACCCAAACCAAAAGGCTTAGTTTTGCTTGGTCCAGCAGGGCAGCGGGGCCCTCAGTGCTATAATTTACATACATATATATATATATTTATCTTTATATATATGGGTCGGATGTCATGGTGCACCACCACGGCTTCTTAACCTTACGAAGTTCATGCATAACACTATGTGAACAAATCCTATGATACACACCAGGAGGCTGGTACCCTGTCTGCGAAGTGGGATGCCAAGGGCCCGGGGAGGCCGCAGCTGCTGGCTAACCGGCCTGCAGGAACTGCACCTCTCTTCCTCCCCACCCTTCTCCCCTGACCCAACCTCTCTGGCTTGTCCTGCGCCCTTCTCCTGGCCATCTCTGCCTTTTTTTTCCTCTCCCATCTGTCCCACCGCGTAGGGTGAGTCTCGCTTTCTGTCCTCCCACTGAAATACCCAGGTAAGTGCCACCTTTCTAGCCCAGCCAGCAGAGGCTCCAGGAAGGAGGAGATAAGATGGGAGGGGGAACGATGACCACAGGATAGGCCTAGGAAAGGTGAATGAACAGAGTCTAATCTTCTGCTTTTCTGTCTGACATCCTGGTGCGCCCCCAGTTTTCACCCTAGCTCGGCTTGCCGGGAAACTGGCCCAAAGACTCCCCCCACCCTGCCACCCCGTCATAGACAGAGTCGAAAGGCTGCCCACTTCTGCTCACTCCCCTATAGGGAGGTAAGCTCAGTGACCCTTTCCCATCCACAGCAGTTGTACCAGTAGCATCCAGAAAGGTACCATACACTTGTGAAAAATTGCAGCAGTGTTTTTTTTTTTCTTTTTTCTTTTTTTTCTCAACATGGAAAAACTGTTCAGGCACAAAGATTAAACAAGCCCACGTTGCATCCCTTGGATTGTACTGAATCACTGGGTCCCCCAGCCTCCCTACCCACCCCTGCACCCCAAGATCTGCCTTCCCCATATTCACGGCCTCCTCCTCCTCCAAAGCAGCCCAAAGCAGCAATGATAGTTACTATTTTATATCAGTCTCTTGCTATATATATATATCTATATATATCTATATATTTGTCTATCCTATATATACATAGGATTTTAATGCTTTGAATGGGTGAAGGAGTGGCTAAGGAAAGAGCACATGAGTGAGGCGTAAATGTCACCAAATGCATTAAGGGACACACTTGTAGGAGTTGGACATGGGAAAGGGACTATTAACCAACGTGGCCTTGCCAGGCTGGAGAAGTTTCTCACTGTGCTGGGTAAGGCAGTAGCAAGCAGGGTTGTCAGCAGTATCACAGCTAAAGGCAGCCAGGTGCCAAAGGAGTCAGATGGCATGAAGAAGAGGGGAGGACAGATATTCAGATCCCACCTGGGGAGAGACCCTCCTCCCCACTTAACTCCAGACACTTCTAAAGCTCCAGACAGCCTCTCACCTTGCCCCCTGGCCACTAGGCCTTGCGACATTAGAACCGTTCCGTCGTTGTGGGTAAGAAGTTGGAGAAGAGGCATGTTAGACTCTATTCAGGTGTCTTCATGGGGAGAGGAGGGTACGGCAAGTTCAGAGGTGACCCCAGACAGTAGCCCTCAGAAACCACATTCCCCTGAGCTCTCCCCTTCCTTCCCCCGGGGTCTGCAGCGGGGGGCGTCCAGATGCTGATTTAGTACTATCCAATGCTGCAACACCACAGTATGACAATACTGCATGATTTAACACACAACCACACACACAAAGCACGCACGCACACGCACACACATGTACAAAGGGATATTTTGGTGGTGGTGGACTTTTATTTTTGTCTTTTGTCTTCCTATTCACATTACAAAAGGAAAGGGCAAGGTTCTGCAGAACTGACCAAGGAACTAACAGATACTACAAAAATATTACAATTTGTAAAGATCAGCTCAACCCTCTGAGCTTGTATGAATGGAGGGGGAGGGGCCCAGGCTGAGTGGGAAGGGTAAGGGAGGGAAGGGCCAGCTAGTTCTATGGAATAGTTTTTTTTCTCTTCCTTCCCCACCCATGTTGAATGACATCTTGCGGTTAGAAGTACTGTTTTCTGGGATTTACAGATCCCCTGAGGGCCAGCCAGTCCCCGCTTCTTCCCAGACCAGAGGAGGAAGCCATAGTGCATAATGATTTCTTACAGATGGCCCCTCCCCCAAATGAACGCACCCTTTTCACATTATAATCATGACAACTGTTCTAGTCACATATTTCAAGTTTAGCTTCGTTTCCTTTCCAAAACACTAAGTCGGGATCATAGTTGCAAAATAGCATCCTCCCTACTTTATCATCCCTAATGAACAGTCTAGTGACACTGTCCTCCCAATTCACATCCCCCCAACACACAATTTTAAGGCCTTCAGATTTGGTGGATGAGATTGAAGGGGAGGGCAGGAGGGCTGGGGCCGAGGGACAGGGGGGTCGTCACAGCAGCACCCATCCCTCTGGCTTCCCTACATTCCTCGAGATCCTTCTCCCCAAAACCGCTTCCCTAAATCACTTTGTAAAACCTAAGATCAAAACGCAGCCACAACTTTCTCAGAGAGAGAAAGGAAAGAAAAAATAATAATAATAAAAACTCTTACACATAAAGCATGAGATGAAACGGAGGGTCCGTCCCAAAGCAAACACGAATATTGCAAATGTGCTTTCCAAAATTCAGGAGGGTGGGGGGAGGTTGGGGAAAAGAGGGAGGAAGAGCAGCAGAATGGGAGGTGGGAAAGGAACAAAAGAACAACTGGACAAACAGAAGAGGTAGCTTTTAGAAAAACAACACCCCCACCCAACACAACACAACAAAGGCTGGATCCCTCCCGCCTCCCCACAGACCGGCCGTGAAAACAGGCCAGTTCTGGCAATGAGAATGCACAGAGAGGTGGGACCACACAGTTGCAAGGATCCGAATAGAGGCCCTCAAACTTCAATGGCCCAGCAAATTGTAGGAAAGGTGGGATTCCCTCCAGAGTGTTTTAGGCTGAACGGATGGCGGCCACAGGTGACTTCATGCCCCGGGCAGAGCCAACAGTGACTCCCTAGTGCCCTTTGGGGACCATGAGACCCCAATGCGACATCCCCTCCCTACCCACTTTTTTGCCCTCCCCGGCCCTCACATTCAGATCCTGAGTATGAACTCCTGCGCAGCTCCTTCCAGCTGGGAGGCTGGTCTCCAGGCGCACAGGGAGGGCCTTGGCCAGCTGAAGTCTATAAAAACAACTATTAATTTACACAAGAAACAGAAAAGAACACCCTCCCCATTCCTCCAAGCCCCAACCAAAAAAGAGATACAGAGGTTAAAAAAGCTCATGAGGTCACAAAAAACTGAGGTAATTCAAGTACAATGTGCTAACAGGGGACACAGAAAAAGAAGCAAAACATAACACAAGGCCAAAGCGCTTTCAACTCCTCCTCCTCCTCCTCCTCCTCCTCCTCCTCCTCCTCCTCCTCCTCCTCCTCTTTCTCTTCCTCCTCCTCCTGCTCCTCCTCCTCCCCACTGTGGACCGAGGAGCCCTGTGAGTCAGGAATTCTGTGCGACTCTCTCTGAACCTGGATTTTCTTGCTGAGCTCACTACGTCTGGGGTCCCCAGTGTGACTCAGCAACTTCCTCCCTTGCCCAGCTTCCCTCAGCCCAGGCGGGCAGGCGGGGTGTCCTCTTCTCCAGGTGTAGGGCCCCTCTAGAGAAAGACATCCACAGCCTTCCCTTGGATCATAAACCCTCCATGGGACTGAAGTAGGGCTGCTGTAGGGGCTGTTTGGTAGGATATTAGGTATTGAGTTGTGATGCTTTTCCATTTTAGAAGCAGCGCGGCAGGAATCCTGCTCACGATGGGGCTGGACTAGGATGGGGTATTGGATTTGTTTTGTGTTCTCAGAAGGCTGAGGGTAGGAGGGCTCTGGAGTCAGAGGCAGCTGTCCCACTAGGAAAGTGGGAAGGATGGAGACACCGCCAGGTCCCCGAGGGACTCGACTCCCCTGGGACTTGGAGGACAGGAGTCAAGGGGAGGCTGGGAACAAAGAGCTGGGGGAAGGGGAGGGCGAGGGGCCTGGAGGCTCTCGGAGACCACCAGGGGACACCCAGATGTGGCAGAGCAGAGGAAAGCAGCAGGTGGGCTGAGTGGTGGGAAGAGAAACAGAACCCTTCCTCTCCCCAGTTGGCCTCCAGCAAACTAGAGCTGCCATTTTGAGCAACTAGTGACCCAGCCCAGCCCGGTCTGCAGGGGAGAGCCCTTCTGGCTCCCCTCCTCCCACTCTTCATCTTCTGGGGGACTGGGGGCAGAAGGCCAGCAGAGACTGTGTGGCTTTGACCAGAGGACCTCTCACCTGCTTCTTAGCCTCTGCTTCTGGATACATAAAGGAAGGACTGGGTGGAGGGAGGAGAAAAATCTGCCACCATTTGAGTGAACGACATACCCCACCCCATCGCAGAAAATCAGGCAAACCTCCAGCCGGGAGGGGAGGGTGAAGGCCCCCAGAGGAGGGGCAGTGGCTTGGCATCCAGGTCATCTGGAGCCCAGAGAGAATCCAAGGCCAAAAAGCTATCAGGTTTCCTTTTTCTTCTCTTTTTTTTTTTCTTTTCCTTTTTTCATTTTTCACAGTCCTTCCTTGACTTCATCTCACTCCAACTCTTCTTTCCTGGCTCCCCGCTCGGCTCCACCGCCGCGGGCCCCCTCTTCACACGTAGCACAGGTAGAGGTACGTCTTCTCTATCCTCCAGTCGGGCGGGATCTCCTCGGGCTTGTGGCCCTTCATGTGCTTCTGCATGGAGGAGAGGCTGGGGCAGTACTCCGTGCAGATGGTGCACTGGTAGGGCGAGGCGCCGTTGTGCGTTCTCAGGTGCTTGATCATGGCCGAGTAGTCCCGGGAGCGCTGGTGGCAGAGCTTACACTCAAAGGGCTTCTCACCTGAGGGTGGGGAGATGGGGCAGGAGAAAGTGAGGACAGAGGGCAGTGAGGGCCCCAAGTCACCCTCAGGGGTGCCAGGGAAGCTGGGTTCCTGCAGCTGGGCTTGCTCCAACAGAACTTCCTGGGACAATCAAGGCACCACCCCAGACAGCAGCCACCAGTTACACATGGCTATGAATGAGGCTGGTGCGACGGGCTCTACAGTTTTCTAATTTTTATTTCATGGTAACGAATTAAATAGCTACACGTAGCGAGTTAGTCCAGCTCCTTGTCATTATTCTCAGCTCTCCCAAGGCCAAAGTCTTTCCCCTTTCTAATTAAGAAAATGGATGTCTAGAAAGAGAAAGGTCTCAAAGTCCTCAGGAATGGCTCTTCAAGCCACAAGCCACAGTTCCATTCAGAGAGTAGGTGGATCAAGATCTTTCAGGGCTACAGATGGTGATGGTGGGGAGCAGGGGTCGGGGGAAACTGAGGGAATCCTGAGTGTCCCCTTCAAATATGCTACACCTGGGGACATGTATCCTGCTAAAGCTCTTTCTTTTGAGACAAAGTCTCACTTTGTTGTCCAGGCTTGAAAGCAGTGGTACAACCTCAGCTCACTGCAACCTCCACCTCCCAGGTTCAAGTGATCCCCTGCCTCAGCCTCCCAAGTAGCTGGGATCACAGGTGCTACCACCACGCTGGCCTAATTTTTATATTTTTAGTAAAGACAGGTTTTCACCATGCTGGCCGGGCTGGGCTTCAACTCCTGACCTCAAGTGATCCACCTGCCTTGGCCTCCCTAACTGCTGGGATTACAGGCATGAGCCACTGCACCTAGCCTATCCTGCTAAAACTCTAGACCTTGCCCTGGGGACCCTGCCTCCCTCCTGAGGAAGGAATTAGGGGTAGGGCGGGATGGGAGGAATAAAGAACTAGGGAGTGTACAGCCACACCCTAGTCTTCTATACCCCAACTTTCCTTCCACAGAGTCCCCTGGAGCCGAGCAGAGAATGCAAGGGAACCTTGTTTCAACACAGTAATTAACTGGCCAGCCATCTCGCTATCAATACTCCTGCACGCACAGGGCCCAGCAAATAATGAAGTAATGAACAGCCAAAGTGATCTAACTATCGACCAGCTATTTACAATAGTCACTGCCAATACAGTTAATGATCCACCTGCCAGGTCACATCCCTGACAAGGGGCTAAGGAAACCCCAGGGCTCGGGAAATCCTCTAGGTCACTCTAGTTGTCAGCAGTGGACACCTCACCCTCTCCTTCTGGGCTCAAACTGGGGTGAGAATACTGAGCTCTGACAACACACAGCTCTGCTTACTGCTCCTTCTGTCTACCCTTCCCCTCTAAAGGCAACGTACTCTCCTTTAAGCCAGCAGGACCTGCCTGAGGCCACCTCTCCCCCTTCCTCTGGACAGGACAGCTGTCTCCCCTGATCAGAGGGGGCATCTTCGTTTTCCAAGTTCCACCACCTCTTATTCTTCTGTAAATCAACCTTCCCCACAACCAGCAGTGTGCTGGTGGTAAATGTTTAACAACTGGCTTTCCAAAAAGCCCTGGTTTGTATGTAGCATCTGCCGATTGCTATGATGTAACTACTCCTCCCAGGGCCAATTTTAAGCAACCAAGGTGATGTCACTGAACTTGAAGTTGTGAAGAAATGTGAAAAATTAGCTTTCACAAAGCAAGTGCAGCTCCAGGACTCCACTGCCCCCAACTTGGGAAACTGTGGAAGACCCTCCGCTTACATTGTCTTCTGATCTCAGGAAAAAGAGTAGCCTATATTTCTTTGTCCAATATAAACAAGAATGTAGCTGGGTGCAGTGGCTCACACTTGCAATCCTATTACTTTGGGAGGCTGAGGCAGGTAGATCACTTGAGGTCAGGACTTTGAGACCAGCCTGACCAACATGGCGAAACCCTGTCTCAACTAAAAAAATACAAAATTAGCTGGGCCTGGTGGCACATGCCTGTGATCCCAGGTAATTGGGAGGCTGAGGCACTTGAATCACTTGAACCTGGGAGGTGGCGGTTGCAGTGAGCTGAGATTGTGCCATTGCACTCCAGCCTGGGGAACAAGAGTAAAAGTTAAAAAAATAATAATAATAATGTGAAGGCACTCTGAAATGGTAAAACCTCATATGCATACAGGGATTATTAAAGATATCTGCTCCTCTAATCTCAGAACCAAACATGAGCTAACTTTACAATTTCCCGATCTTCATAATAACCTAATTCAATGTACCCTAATTCTTACTCCAACTGAAATTACCCTAACCTTCACTTTCAGTTAAGTGCTCACGTACAGACATCATTTTGCATGTCACCTCTGAACTATTGGTATAGCTGCCTGGAGGGCTGGCGGGGTCTCATTGGAAAGTGTGCTGGGATTGATTAGTAATGTCTGCCTTGGCCTTGACTGGGGTGTGGTGGTCCTCAGGCCACCATACCAGCCCTTAATAGAACCTCTTCTACTCTTTGGTTCAGCCTGGGATCATTCTCACTTAGGCTTCTCTGAGAGACCATCTGTTCTCCACCGCCACCCAGGTCTGAGAGGCAGCTCAGTCCCCTCCCTGGCCCTCGGTACCTGTGTGCACTCTATAGTGTGTCTCCAGCTGATGCTTGAGGCTGAACTTCTTGCCGCAGCCATTGCACTCATAGGGTTTCTCACCCGTGTGGATGCGTTTGTGGCTCTTGAGTGTGCTCTCATCCCGGAAGCAGCTGCCACAGAACTCACACTCATAGGGGTGGTCACCTGTGGGGACAAGGGGCTGGATCAGGTCTTTGCCCTTCCCTGCCCCCTCTTCAGGAAACAGTAGGGCACATTCAGTGCATGAGAGGGATGAGACAACCTGTATTTACCACCTCCAAAGACAACTTAAAGATCCACACCTCCACTGAATAAACAAGCAATACCTGTGTTCACACATGTCCCTACTTTACTGTGGCCCCATGATCATGTGTGGGGCAATAGCCAGTCCTGGAAAAGAGAGTCCATTTGGTTCAGGGATGGACAGCAGCCCTCAGAAAGCATGCCCCCACGTGGATACATACAGCAGGCCTCAGGGCTTTGAGACCTCACCATCCTGCTTCTTAGATGACCTCTTCTCCCGTTCCTCTAGGTTAAGGGTGAAAATCACTCCAGTCTTACTCCACAACCTTCAAAGAAATCTCTCCAATTTGGGGAACTTCACATTGTCTCCCAAATACCTTCAACAGTCCCCAGTTTCTTACGTAGCTGTTTTCTCTGCTCAATTTCTTTTCTCCCTGGTGAACTCCTAATCATCCTTCAAAGCCCAGTTCATACCCCTGTGTGGACTTCCCTTTAGTTCTCCAGGCAGAATGAATCACACTTTCCTCTGTGTCCCCAAAGAGAAGAAATGTCCAGAATTTTGTTCTTTTACTAGTGTGGTATAATTTGCATGGCACTTTCGCATTAAAATGGCCCACATTTCCTGAGCACTCAGATGTGTGATGTGATCGTATCAGGTGATCATGGCAACAACCATAAAGAAAGATATTATTCTCATTTTATAGTTGAGAAAAAGTGAGATGCTTGGAGATGCTTCAACATCATCCCTGAGGTGAAACAGCAAGTAAGGAGCTGAGTTGGGATTCAGGTTTGGGTCTGGCTCCAGAGTCAGGGTACCATATACTTGTCAGCTGTTGACACACTGAGCCGTATCTACTGGCTTGCCCACCGTACCTCCAGCATGGAAGCACCACCAGGATAAGAAGCCAGCCTCACCCATCCTTGTAGCCTCAGGACATCACACAGGGAGAACCCAGAACAGACTCAGGAAACGGTGGGTCTATGAAACTTGGAGAGAACTGCTGTTTCTAGGTCTGGAATCTAAGTCCATCAGCATCTCTTTTGAGGATCCCACTCTTAAATCCCTAGAGCATGAGAGGTTGGGGTGTGGAGATTAACCATCTTGCATTTCATACCCAAAGTGGGGGGTTTGGGGGATGAAAGGTGAGGACTCCAGCTACTTATTTATTACAGGAATGAAGGCGCAGACAATAAAGATAGATTGATCACCCCAGACTTCGTTCATGAATATTTAAATATCGCTGATTCGTCTTGTCACTGTAATTACAATTTCTCTGGGCTGCATCTCCAACAACCACAGTTTATGGTAAAGAATGGCCCACTGTATTTCACTTGTCCCTCTGCAGATGTGCGGGGCTGCCAACCGTGTAATGTCCTCTGCATTTCATACATTTTCTTCAGCTGCTGAAGGTTTAAGTCATCCACAATGACCTACGTTTTTTCATTATCCCCATGTCAAACTGCGCTCGTGCCTGGGCATAAATTGTCCTTCTCGTTATAGACTCGCAGCCCTGTGCCTTCACTTCCTTTTTAAAATGATATTTTACTCTCTCCTCTCTCTCCCCTCCTCAGTCCACTAACCAAATCTCCCCCCTCCCAAAGCCAGGCCCCTGTACCCACATAAATTCTCATCTCTTCTGATGGCTCTGAAGGGTTTTTAGGGCTCTGTGGGGAGTGGATGTTAGGCTCTGTTCAGTGGCTGACTTTCTCATGGGTGGAGGATTTGCAAGTGCTGATGCCATGCAAGGGGCACTTCCATCAGGAATCAGATGGGAGAAGCTCAAAGAGTGGCATCATGCCTTGGCACCAGTTCACCCCAATCTATAGGGCGTTGTGCTGGCTCAGAGGCTCGGCCAGCAAATCCCTCACCTGCAGATCCGGGGATGAGCCAAGGCCTGGGGTTCTCAGCTGGGGAAATCGCTACCTGCCCATCCTCACTGTCAGAGCCATGGGTACTGCCTGGCCTCCATCCCTATCAAACCCAAGGGGAGTGGAGGCCTGTGCAGACCCTGGTACTAATTAGTTGTGTGTCTAATACAGTCAGGGCCAGTCTGTGTGTGTGTGTGTGTGTGTGTGTGTGTGCCCTGACCCACTCTCTCTGTGTGTCTGCACTCACAGCCCCGTCTGGTCTGACAGCCAACTCCCCCTCCTTACTGAATCGGCAACGATTACGACTTTAATCAAAGATTCAGTATCCTCATTAAGGTATAAATAAATAAATAAAGCAAAGGCCACGTGAGACTTCAGCCGGAGCCAGTAATTAAAACGTACATCGGCAGCCACCCAGCCGGGGGGAATGCGGTGTGGTAGGGAGGCAGGGGGTGGCTGCCTGTGCCTTTCACCTCCAGAGGGGTCCCTAACAATTTAAAAAACAAAGGGTTAAGACAGAGGAGTTTGTTTGATCCGATTTTTATGAGTTTAATTATAAAGTGGAGCACATGTTAAATGAGTTTAAATAGGAAATCTCCTGAGTCTGCCCAGGGAAAAGAATCAAAAGAACTTAGAAGAGAAAACAAACAACAACAAAAAAAAAAAAAAAAAGAAAAAGAAAGAAAGAAAGAAAGAAAGAAAGAAAGAAAGAAAGAAAGAAAGAAAGGTCACCAATACACACGTATCCCCGTCCTGATTTGGAAGCATGGTGAGCACCTGGCGTGAAATCCTCACCCTGAGAGCTGATTGTGTTGGTGTGGCCATAATGTACACAAAACTGGCTGCAGAACTCAAAATCCAATTTGTGGTATGTTGATTAACTCTGTAGCCTCTTTAATGAGCTTGACATTAAGTGCAGGACAAACGAGACTAATTAGAGCCCCCTCCAGCCTGCCCAGTGCACCTGTGACCCCTCACACCCCCAATCTGTCCTTACTTGGTGCTTCCTCTGGCACTGGCCAAGCCTAGTGTCTGTCGTCCTCCCCACCCCAGCCCTATCCTGCTGGCTCCTCAGACCCCTCCCTCCCAGACCCTCCCTTCAGCACAGCTGAGAGTTTATTATATGATGAGCCATGTGAATCAGGGATCCATCAATGCCAAGAGCACGGCTGGACTAACCTACCAAACACAGCTGCTGGTGCTAAACACGCAGCCCCAGCAGCAAATGGGCCAAGAACAACGGAATATTAATGAGGCATTGTGTGTGGGGTGTGCACAGCCTGTATGTGGCTTGTGTGCACAGTGCCTCGCTGGTGTGAAAATGCATGGGTGTTTCTCTGCGTGTGCACAGGCAGCACACATGCTCTGTGTTTCCTAGAATAAGCAAGGGCTTCTCCCCAACTCTGGAAACAGTCCCTCCCCAGGGATCTGTGCCATGACTGACACAAGGGCATGTGACATTTTCATATCTGAGCTCTGAGACGGTGGCATGGACAGAGCAGGGCATATTCTGGGTGAATTTAGCAGGACTGAGATCATGCAAGCCAAAGGAAGCCAACTGATTTGACCCAGCAGCATGCTCATGCTCACAACTGGCTGAAAGGTATCTAGCCATCTTTCTTTCTTTCTTTCTTTTTTTTTGAGAGGGAGTCTCACTCTGTTGCCCAAGCCAAGCTGGAGTACAGTGGTGTGATCTTGGCTCACTGCAACCTCTACTTCCTGGGTTAAAGCCATTCACCTGCCTCAGCCTCCTGAGTAGCTGGAATTACAGGCACACGCCACCACAGCCCGGCTAATATTTGTATTTTCAGTAGAGACGGGGTTTCACCATGTTGGCCAGGCTCGTCTCAAACTCCTGACCTTGTGATTCACCGGCCTTGGCCTCACAAAGTTCTGGGATTGCGGGTGTGAGCCACCACGCCTGGCCAAGCCATCTTTTGTAACACTGAATGAACTTGGGGACCCGGTGAGGGAGGTGTTCATAGGAAGGTGCATATACCTGCAGGGGAGATGCCTATGCAATTGCTGTAGAGAAAGTCCTTGTCAATATCCCACCCTTGGCCCTTCTTATTGAGCCTGCCCCTCTGGGCACTACCTCTGTCCTATGCCAGCAATTTTAAGTAGTTCTGTGAAATATGGTGGCACTAAGGCAAGGTGCTCCTCTGAACAAAATGGCATCCACAGGTGAGAGCCAGGAAGACTCCTTAATGAGGACACCTACTGCTGGCAGACCAGGCCAGCTCCGTCCATGAGAAGTAAAGCTCTTCCCTTATTTAGCAGAGCCTGCCACCCATGCAAGACCTGGCCTGCATACTCAATCTCTGAGCTGTTACAACTCTCAAAATGAAGAGGGGCTTACTGTTTCTTTACATGGCATGCAGAGGTTTTTATGAGTATACACTCTGTTACATACCCAGATAGAGACCTGACCCCACCACTCCCTACAAACACAGCACACAAATGCAGAGCCACATGCACACTCAGAAATGGGCATTCCTTCATCGAGGTACAAGTCAGCAGAGCCCCAGTTGTGGCACAGAGAAAAGAAGGAATATAAGCCCTCCACTCCCCTGTTAGGGAAGACCGGGGACACCAAGTGTCCCCATCCCTGAAGCCTAGAGGGTGGGGCCAGGGAACGGCCAGCCCCGGCTGGCCTCCTTAGCTCATAACCCTCCCTTGTCCCATCACCTGGAACTGGCTGAGCAGCAATAGTTCACTGCTCATCGTTTAAATGCCCTCCTGGTCTTCCCTAAACAGGGTTAAGGTCCAAGTATAGGCCTTTGTTATTGTGGGGAAAGCAGGGCCACTTTTTCAGCATGCCCTCAGAAGCCCGAAGCTGACTTCAGAAATGTGTGTGGATGGAGCGTGGGGCATCAAGAGTGGTGGGAGGCAGGGCAGACACTGTTAAGAGACCCAGCAGGTCAGTGTTTCTCGAAATTCCTTTTGGGTCTACCTACATGAGAATCCCTTGGGAATACCTATTAATAATGCTGAGTCTGAGATCCCACCCCTGGCCCCACAGAATACTGAGATTGGGACCCAAGAGTCTGCCTTTTTAACAAGCACCCTGTGTTGAACACGGCAAGACTTCCACAGGAGAGGGCTGGGAGAACCGTCCACATTCACCTGCACGACAGGCAGCCCCTGCATGTCTAAACCTTGAGCGGAAGGGCTGAGGGCTGACTCAGCCCACCACCTCCACTTTTTTTTTTTTAAATTCATTTTATTGCATTTTAGGTTTTGGGGTACATGTGAAGAACATGCAAGACTGTTGCATAGGTACACACGTGACAGTGTAAGATTTGCTGCCTTCCTCCCATCACCTATATCTGGCACTTCTCCCCATGCTATCTCTCTCCAACTCCCCACCCCCCCCACCACCTCCACTTTATGTCCTTGGAGGTAAATATAGACTTTGGCTCCCAGAGATCCGATCCGCCCATCAGCTGACCTGACCTACCTGTATGTGAGCGCAGGTGGCGTTTGAGGGCCGTGTGGCTGGGGAAGGTGCGGTTGCACTCGCTGCAGATGTAGCTGCGCACGCCCGCGTGGACCTCCATGTGCTGCTGCAGTGCGCTCTGCGCCTGGAAACGCTTCCCACACAGCAGGCAGAAGACGGCCATGTCGGTGCCTGTGGGAGACAGGAGAGGGGGCGCCTCAGGAGGGTGGGAACACAAGGCGCATTCTTTACCCATCTGGAGTGAGAGCCAGTGTCGGGACTCACACCTCCAGATCTCCGTGTTCAAAAGGCAAATCCAGAGTTGGCCCAGGCTGTGCAACAGTGAGCACCCAGTACGTGGCACCACTGACGGGCAAAATCGACGTCGCTCCTGAGCTCTGGAAGCTCAAGTCTAGCGGGAGAGGGAGAGGCAGTAATCAAATGCATCACAACAGCAAGTAATGTGCAGCTGTGTCAGGTGGTATGTAAAAGAAGGCAGGGTACTAAGAGGGTACGTACCGGATGGACTTCACAGAGTCTGGGGCAGAATGTTGGGGAGTCAGGGTAGACCCTGCGAGGACAAACGATAGCAAAGATACTATGGGCCCGTCATTGTTCGAACATAACTAATATAAATCCACAACTCCAAAAGCTGGCCTCTGTCATCCTCACGTTTTAGACAAGAGAGATTAAGTACTTTGGCCAAAATCCCATAGAGCAGCAGTCCACAACATTTTTGGCACCAGACACCGGTTTCATGGAAAGCAACTTTTCCACGTATGGTAGGGGATGGTTTCGGGATGATTCAAGTGCATCGCATTTATCATTAGACTCTCAATAAGGAGCGTGCAGCCTAGATCCCGTGAATGCACAGTTCCCAATAGGGTTTATGCTCCCGTGAGAATCTAATGTCACCGCTAATATGACAGGAGAAGGAGCTCAGCTTTGCTCGCTTGCCTCCTGCTGTGCAACCCAGCTCCTAACAGGCCACAGCCGGGGCAATGGGGATCCCTGCCACAGAGTCCGTAAGTGGCAGACCTGGGATTCACACCCACACACCCTAGATTTTAATGCTTTCGCAAGTTTCACTAAAGACCCTGCTTTTTAAAACTACTTAGCCACTGACTAAAGCATTAATCTTAGGGTCTGTTCACTCAACAAGTATTACCTGGTGCCTTCTACAAGTCAGGCTGTCTTTGTGGCACTGGGGATATGACCATGGAAGAGCATCCCTGCTCTCATAACCGATGTTACCCAGTACAGCAGGTGAATGGCAGAATCCAGAAGACGGAAGAAGGAAATGTGGCCCTGGGAGGACTGGGCAGAGGAATGGGGCAGAGCAGCTGGGGAAGAGGAGGAGGAGGCTAAAGAGAAAGGCAAGGGCCAGGCCATGCAGGGTCTTGCAAACCACATCAAGAGCTTTAGGTTCCATTCTAAACCCGATGGGCAGCTGTCAAAGGATTTAAAGCTAGCTGAGTGGTGTGAGATTTTTATCTAATCCTGACTGGCTGTTCACCCCCACAGTACCCCATGAATGCAGGCTGCCATCATCTGAGTGTTACCAACGCTGCTTTGGAGCTGCGGCCTTTCTGGCTGCAGCACTACAGGAAGAAGTATCTGACCTCGTGTCTGACTCCTAACTGGCAACTTGTTGCCCACCCTTTGGGGCTGTTTTCCTGAGCACAGCAGCTCCCTAGCAGGCCCATGTGCATGTCTCTGTGTTGGCGGGTGAGCAATGTACACATCAGCACAGAGACTATCTACCTTTCCTGCTTGTGTCCCCCACACAGAAAAAAGAAGTGTGGGGCCAAGGGAAGGTGACCAGAGGTGTGAGGTCACCCGCCCTTGGCCCCACACCTCTGTCCCCTGTGTGGGGGACACAAGCAGGAAAGGTAGATAGGCCTAGCACCTGTCAGTCCAGTCCAGAGCGGAGGGAGGGCCAGAGCTTTGGCTGCTGGAAGCCATGTGCTACTCAGTGTGGCATGGGGAAGTGTCTGGTGGAAGGTAGGGAGGAGAGAAGGGATGGCACGAAGAACCTCCCTGCCTTCCTGGCCCACTGATGAGGATAGCAAGTGAGAGGTCTGGTCCTCAACACCTCCGTCCCACTCATGGCTGGGTTAGGACCAACTAGTAGGCAGGCAAGGCCCGCCTTTCACTGTCCCCCACATTTCTGTGTCCCCACACCCACCCTGATACCCCTTCCCTTTGCAGACACTGAAGTCTAAGCACCTGGAGCCATGCTCCATCTCGCCAGCATCATGAAGGCCGAGTAGGGGAGAAGAGCAGCCAGCACTGGATTTTGCTCCTGGCCACCAAAAAGCAGGAAGGCAGGGGAGCAAAACCAGGTGTTACGCTAGGTGCTTTATCTATGCTGTCAGCTCATTTAAAACTTGCAATCCTACAAGGCAGGCATTCTTATCCCCCATTTTGCTCATGGAAAACAGAGAGATTAGATAACTCACCTAACATCACACAGAAAGAGGCAGAGTTGGGATCCGAAAATATCTCGGTTTGTCTGGTTTCAGAAACTATGGGGCTGGGCTCAATGCTACCTCTGAGGCTGGCAGCCTGCCTGTCTGGGCTTACCCTAGAAGAGGCCCAGGAAGGACAGTACAGAGCCCCCTGCATCTAGTGCAGCTCCAGCAATGGCTAGAACCCCTGGCCAGGAGTGGAGCTGGGTCAAAAGGCATAGCTCTCTGAGGCCTTCCAACCCCAGTGGGAGCCACCAAGATCTCTCGGAAGTGTCGAGTAGGGTGCTCAGCTCCACTTGCTGGAGGGGGACACAATGAGAGAGGTATCTTTCCGGGCAGAGGCAGTGACAAGAGTTGACAGTGAATCTTCAATGTCCCTCCCTGCCTAACCTACATACACAGGAGCAGAGGGCGTCTGCAATGCATTCTGTGCCTGGCGGCCCCTGCTCCTTCAACTTGAGGGTCCCCAGCATCCACCTCCACTCTGCCCTTAATCCTCACCCCACAGAGAGCCTAATTAAGCCAGGTGTTCAAATAGCTACCTTAAATCAGTGGGGCCAGCCATGCCCTTTAAGAGCCAAGGCTTCTCCTTACGCATCCTCTGAGATCTCCTGCCTACATGCAAGAAACCTGGGCAGAGGGAACATGAATGGCATTCCTAGTGGGATGTGTGAGCCTATACAGCCAGACCCAGAGATGCTCTGAGGGCCAATACCACCCAGCACGGCAGACCATGGCACTCTGCCCCCTTGGTCTTCCCAAGGCCCCTCGATGCTGCCCCTACTTCTCAGGGTGGCCCGAACCCACTTCATGTCCACTTAGCCAACTCACTGAGCTACTACCAAGTGTAAGCACTGTGCTAGGGGACCAGGGGCATGCTGAGGCTGAGCAGAGAAACCAGGTCCCAGACAAATGGGAGATGCCGAGTTGACAACCACCCAGAGGGTAAGGCAGGGTGACTCCAAGAGCTTCTGGGATTTTAAGTTAGGTTTTGAAAAGTAGTCTCTGAGAAGCCAAGGACAAGAAGTTGGGGCATATGTGCCAGGCTAAGGAGAGAGACACTGCAGGCAAGTGTCAGAGCAGATGGGGCCAAGGACAGGCCCTGGGGATGGAGACAAGCTGGGAGGGTGATGGGCGTCAGGTCACAGAGGGTGGCACATGCCACGTAAGCGGGTTGGACTTTATTCTACAGGCAATGCAGTGCCACAAAGACCAAGAACTGCTGTGATCCTAATGTTTGGGTCTCCTCTGATTCCTTTTCTGAAATCCTAATCCCTAAGGTGATGATATTAGGAAGTGGGGCCTGGGGGAGGTAACTGGGTAATTAAAATGGGATGAGTGTCCTTGTAAAAGTGGGCCCCAAGAGCTAGCTAGCCTCTTCTACCATGTAAGGACACAGAAGTCAGCAGTCTGCAACCAGGAGGAGGACTGTCACCAGAACCCGAACAGGCTGGCACCCTGACCGCAGACTTCCCAGCCTCCAGAGCTGTGAGCAGTGCATGTCTGCTGTGTATAAACCACCCATCCATGGTCATTTGTTAGAGTAGACTGAATTGACTAAGACGAGGGGTGCTAACGCGATCCAACCTGTGTTAAAAGGCAGTGACTCTGGGCACACGTAGGAACCGACAGCAGCAGCAAGTGGTTAGAAGCAGTCAGAGGGCTGATGGGCCACTGGAAGAGGGTGGGAACCAGAGGAGGGCAGAGGCTGCCAGGGCGAGGGGAGAAAGAAACTCCTAGAAAGGTGGACAGCAGAGGAGGGGTGGCAGACACAAAATCCAGGTGGCCAGTTTTGCACCTGGCCAATAGGCTGGAAGTTAGATGGACATCCCCTGGAAAGGAAATGCTGTGATGTCCCTACAGTGGTCTCTGTCCCCTTCCTGGGACATTCCACAAGGCACAGGGGTGTTCCTTGGCCACGTATCTACCAACCAATGCTCCCAGGGGAAGAAAGGAAGGGCTCTGAGACTTGGTATCCACTTCCCCCATTCTTCTGCTTGGAGACTAACAGCTATGATGATAGAAAAGTATTTTTAAAAAACTGGAAAGGGCGGGAGAGATGTGGATGAGACACAAGAAAAGCTATTGGTGCATGCGAGTTAAAAATCTAGAGACTAGATGTGAGTTATTAAACAATTTGCTGCCGTTTCAGCCTAGCTGATTGTTCGCATGTATGATGAGTCAGGGCAGATTCTATTACACTGGGAGATTAAGCAAATAAATGCTAGCTTTTGGAAACACATTAAAATGTGGAACTATGGAAATAAAATTATCTAGAAAATTGTATTAGCAATTCATTAGCTGCAGTGAGATGCGCAGCGGGGCAGGGGGGCGGCAGCACTGGAGCGCTCTGCTCCCTCCAACGCCTGGGTTTCGTCCTCTGCTACTGAGAGATGTCAGTCCTGGTACCACTGGGGAGGGGGGATGTGCTCCGACCGGATGAACGAGACCCTCGGAAGTCAGATGGTCCACATGACATGGGGGAAGGAAAAGCAGCACAGGGGCCCAGCCCTCCCACATACTCACCTTGTGGCCCTGAGCAAGTCATTTCACTTTGCCAGGTCCATTTGCTCCTTATCTGCCATACTGTGGTTATCAAGAACATCGACTGAGACATCCACATGAAGAGACTTTATAATGTGGTCACAGAGCCAATGCCAGCCAAACAACGGCTTCATCTGAAAATCGCGTCCCCTCCTCTGGGCAGTCTCACAGCCCTGG